ACTGACTATTACATCATGAACGACCCCCAGCTGTCATTTCTGGATGCCTATAGAAATTATGCCCAGCATAAAAGAACTGATGCCCCAGTACCAGGAAGTCTCTGCTGCCTTTACCAGACCAACTCTAAACTATATGAATCTCTTACATACACTCAAATGAGTAGGACTGTTGAGTCCCTTGAAAGTGAACCTGAGAATCTAGTGAAAATAGAAAGTAGAGATGATCATTTAAGCCTGCCAGGGGGTAACCTACCCGACATGACTTGTGAAAGCTTCATTTCTAAAGTTCAGGATGTCATTTCCATCGACCATGATGAAAGTCAGCTGTCTGAGACCTTGGAAAGCATGATGTGTGGAAAGAAGGTGCTTAGCCAAGAGCCAGGCTCTTTTCAGGAGAGCTCAGGTCCCAGTACAGAGTCCAGGAAAGACACTGTTGCCATCTCAGCAAACAAAGATGGAAATGGCCATAAGGCAGAAATAGCTGCAGACTCCTCTTTTATGGATAGTTTAGAAGCAGGGGTAGCTCAAATGAACATTAAAAATGGGAATCATTTGTCAGTATCTGCTTCAAAGGAAGGGGAGCCCTGTTGCAGTGAGATGGGGCAGAGACCTGAATGCATTGGGCAGCTGGAAGCCAAATGCTTAGCTTCCCCTTCCTTGGATCCAGGAAACGAAAGTGGGTTTGTAGATATGTGCAATCTTCATGTCTGTGACTCCAAAAGAAACTTATCCTCAGATCAGCAATTAATTGATTTGTTAGAAAGCAAGAGTTTAGAAAGTAAATTAATTTTGAGTCAGAACCGTAGTGATGAGGAAGAAGAAGAGGAGGAAAATGAGGAGGAAAACTTAGCCATGGCGGTAGGCATGAGGGACAGGCCAGAGGTTTTGCATCTCACCGAGCACACTACTAATACACCAAGGGAAAAGAGCCTTAGCTTCCATGTAGATGAAGCCAGGAAAGGAAACCCAGAGGCAGTAGGCCAGCCTCTTGGACTGCAGAAGGCATTTCCTTCAGCCACCTGTCAGTGTCACTGCAGACACATGGAGAGGTGGGTGCGTGGTCTTGAGAACAATGAATTTGAAGTGGAGAAACCCAAGGCTTATAGCCCAGATCTGTACAAAAACAAAACCAATGTCACAATGGAGGAGGAACCTACTGCTGTTCCATCAGAATCATTTCAAGTGAAGCATGAGCCTTTAAAAGAACCTTGGAAAGAAAGTATAGAGAGAAAAAAGGGATTCCCCATGTATCTTCCCAAAGGAACTGAGCTCAAGTCAGAAGACGTGGATTTTGAGAATAAAGATGAATATGACAGAGATGGAAACTGCCATCAAGGTATGTACCGAGGTTCTTGTGTTTGGGGTAAGTCAGTTCTCACATGACAGGGAGGTGGGTGGGGTAGGGGGCTGGGAGAAATGGTCAATAGTTCCACAGCTTCTTACACAGACCTTCCAACCCTCAGCACATGTTCAAAACCAAAGGTCCCAGGTCTTGGTCTGAAAATTAAAGTAGCTTAACTGTGACCATTCCAGAAAATTAAGGAGGATGATTAGATAGCCATAGAGCCTTTACTGTGAGATGCTACGTATGGCGTCAGGGGCAGTGGTTTGTTCTTCTAGTAGATAATAAACTCCAAAGTACAAATGAATTTCAGCTTTGTTAAGGTGGGCGAAGAAAGCACCATTACGACTGGTTTAAGGTCAGTACCTTTGGTTTAGATTCCTTTCAGTAACTCAACACACACACACAAAATAGTTACAAGTAACTCAACAGCAACAACAAAAAGTAGATTTGATCTACTTAAATGAGGAAATCTTAGTGAAGGGTTCAGATTAGAAGAAATTTCAAAATGTAAAGAAAAACATCTGAGGCTAGCCTTGTAGCACAGTAGCTAAGCCCTATGCAGAGGGAGCCAGATCCCACATGGCTGATCGCAGTTTGAATCCTGACTTGAGTGGCTTGAAAAACACACTGAGCACATGTGCATGCATTTGCAAAATCCAACGGGATAGAGAAATGGAGGAAAGAGGATTGCAATGTGACTACACCGCATTGGTTGGCATTTTCACTTTCACTCTCCCTCTGGCAAGTGCCTTCTGGCAGTTAAAAAAAAAAAAAAATCAGGACAGCAGATGGTGTAATGGTTATGTCACTGGACTCCCACATTGTCAACCATGGTTCACATGTCAGACCCGCCAGCTTAAAAGTCACAACAGGTGCGTGTGCATGCGAGGGGAGAACGAAGGAGAAGAGATTATGGCATGGGCATCCCCCTGGTTGTGGGGGGGAGGGGGAGGTGATTTCTCACTTTCTGTCTCTCTAGTGAGCACATGCACCCTATAGCAAAAATCTCTCTCTTAAAAAATAATAATAATCTAGATAACCCTGAAATTCTTTGTGCTTTGCAAGAATATAAATACAGTGATGAGGGAACCTCAGGAGCAACAATAGCAAACAATGTCTACCTGTCGTTTATGTTTCAGATGCAAGAGGGCATATTAGGGAGAACAAAAATACTGCCAGTTTTCCTTGTCATTGTTAAAGACAAAAACAGCCCTGTTCATGCCTGGCCCAACATGGTGTAGGGCTCAGGGCTATACACATCAGCCTGTCCTCACACAGCTCCTTTTCATTCATAGCACCATCACAGTGAGTTTATGTGTGTAAGAGAGAAACAGCTAAATTTCCCTGAGCTCTCTAGCTTCTTTTTATTTTTTAACTCCCTCACCTTTGTTTTTGGTTATAAAACAAAGTGACTGTCTTGGGAAGAATAGTTCTGAACCCAAATTAAAATTTACACACTAGCTAGGACAAACACCTGCTGAATGTTGACAGTAGCTTGATCCCACTGTAGCCCCAGCTGGCCCAGAAAGAGCCGGTCTGCAGCTATGCCTGGTCCTCCTTGCCCAGGCCATGAAGGATCACTGCCGTGTGTTAAATTACATGTAAACCCATATTGCTTTTTAAACCCTGTTGTGGGGAAAATCACAAAATAATCAGTCTTTAAAAACTCAAGCAGTCAAACAGGTACAGGGTAGAAATCAGTATGACTTAGGGATGAAATGTTCCTGAACTGAATTTCTTAGGTGGCAGCATCCACCTTGCTGAGTCAGGGTGTATGAGCATTGGTGAGCATCACAGATAATGCATGGGTGGGGGTGCATTTTTTTAAACCCTTTTTAAACAACAGGGTTGAAAAGGCAATATGGGTTTACATGTAATTTAACACACGGCAGTGATCCTTCATGGCCTGGGCAAGGAGGACCAGGCATAGCTGCAGACCGGCTCCTTCTGGGCCAGATGGGGCTACAGTGGGACCAAGCTACTGTCAACATTCAGCAGGTCTTTGTCCTAGCTAGTGTGTAAATTTTAATTTGGGTTCAGAACTATTCTTCCCAAGACAGTCAGTAAAAATACAAGCTTTCAAAAGCACTATTGCTTTTTAAATGCTTTTACAGACCTAGAAGGGACCCTTCATACACACAAAGTGTGGAATGATGGGATAGGGAAGATAAGCCCTGCTTTTCATACTAGGAGACTATAGTCCTGAAGGGGCAGAAATTAGTACAGTTGTCGGGGCCAGCCCCCAGGTCTCTGGTACCTCTGCTTGAAACCTCTCAAGGGTACTTCCCATTGAATCTAAAATAAAATTCTAAGTTTCTATCATGTACTAGTGTCTCACCACAGTTTAGATTGTTTCCACCCCTGTAGCCTCATCTTTATACTTTCCTCCTAGCGGCCTTTTAACTTCCTCATTATATTCAAGCTACTCTTTCTCCATTGCCACCTCCTCCTCTTGGGCGTTCCCTCCTTCAGGAGATCCTTTCTACCACCCTACATGAGGAGGTCTTCCCCTCTTATTTCCTATCACAGTATTTTATTTCTCTTCTTTCATAGCATTTATCATAGCTTATCATTTTAGTTACTCCTTTTTTGTTACTGCTTTCTGCCTGTCTTCCTCCCTGAGACTTCAGAACCTTGAAGGCCAGGAGCATGTCTGTCTCATTTATCCTTGAGTTGACCAGGCCCAGCAAGGTCCTCTGCATGGCAGAGGGTCTCTGCAGCTCCCTGGGAAACTTGCCACACAATCAGAAGTGAAATCTGATGTGAAGACATCTCAGAAGGTAGGCATTCCTTGTCATCTCATCCAGAAAAGAGGTCTACAGCTTTTCCTGCCTTGGGTATTATGCTACCATCTGTTCCTTTCCTGTCATGAGTAGTAAGAGGATCTTTCATATTGATAATAAACTTTCATCATTACTAAAACATGAAATGAGTTGCATTTCTATTTATTTCCATCAGTCACATAATCAAAATATTCTGGGAACCAGCAGGTGGCATGGTGGTTAAGGCACTGGACATTCCCATGTGACTAACCACGGTTGAGTCCCAGACCTAGTGGCTTACTTTCTCACTTTCCTTCTCTCCCTCCCTCTCTCTCTCTCTCTCTCTCTCTTTGTCTGTCTCTGGTCAAATTAAAATAAATGAATGAATACATAAAATTAAATAAATAATTCTTTTAAAAAATATTCTAGGGAAGATTTTTTGTATCACTTTTTACATAATTCAGGTCTGTTTTTATATTTCATAGGTAGTTCCTTCAAATATATCAAAGTATTATCATGTCTAATTCCCTTATGCCTGCTATAACAAATGAGAAGTGTGACCATCCAGTTTACTTACACAGAAGAAGTTTCTTTCTTTCTTTCTTTCTTTCTTTTTCTTTTTTTCTTTTGCTGTTTGGGTATGGGTGCAAACTCTTAATAGATGGCTTATATTGATAACCCTAGAGCAAGATTTTTCTTTATTATTTAACTGGTAATAGTTCTCCTGAAAATAAAAGATTTGCTAATTAGTATTTTTCTAAAATAAATGAGTTCAAAATAGGCTGGTTTAAAAACCAGAAGCAAGGGGCCAATAGGTGGCTTGGAATTTGTCTGGATCCCACATGGCCAACTCCACAAGTCCCAGACCTAGAGGCTTGAAAATCATGCCATACACATGTCCAAAATCCTGAGAAGAGAGTAGAGAACGGATTGTATTTGGCCATCCCCACAGGGGGGGTGATTTTTTACTTTTCCTCTCTCTCTCTCAAGTGTGTGTGCCCTTGGGACCAGCAGTTAGCATAATGGCTATGTTGCTGAACTCTCACGGAGCTGACCACAGTTTAAGTCCCGGACCTGGTGGCTTAAACTCATGCCGGGCACATGTGCATGTATGCCCAGGATCCCAAGAGAATGGAGGAGAAGGGATTGTGGTGTGGCCATGCCCCCTGGGGGGGGGTGATTTCTCACTTTCTAGCTATCTGTCTCTCTCTGTCTTTTTGGCAAGTGCACAAAACACCCCACAAGAAAAAAAAACAAAAAAAAAAAAAAAAAAAAAAAAAAAAGTATGTGTGCCCTGTAACAAAACTGGAAGAAAAAAAAAAGACTGGATATCCTGATCTCTCAGACCACCAGTACCTCTCTGGTGCCTAAATGTTTTTTGTTTTGTTTTGTTTTTAACTTTTACCCAGATTATCCAGGGAAATACTCGGAGGAGGAAAGCAAGAGCTCGACATCAGGCATCACAGGGGACGTTGGGGATGACCTGCAGGAGGCTCGGGCTCCCACCATTGCTCAACTGCTACAGGAGAAAACTCTGTATTCCTTCTCAGAGTGGCCAAAGGTACCTCCCAGAGTTTGCATTTTCTACCTAAAGCATTCTCAACTGTGAATCCTTTATTTTAAACCTTTCATAGTATTTCTGAGTAACATACTCAGAAAAAGTTGTAATGTCTTCAGAAGGTACTAGTTATGTAACATTTGAACATTAAAGATGAGTATACTTGACAAAACCATAAGAAACTGTTAAATCGTCCTCATATTTATAGCACTACAGCTTTAATTTTCATCACCCAGACTATTTAATTTGTTTTAAGGCTTATAAAGCAGGTGTGTTTGGATGATCTTTTCTCATCAGCTCCTTCTGGTAAGAAAGCTTGACCTTCCATCTGAAGAATTTATGAATTTGGGTAACTTGGTACTTCCTTTTTTTCTAGGATCGTGTGATAATTAACCGCCTCGATAATATCTGCCATGTGGTGTTGAAAGGGAAGTGGCCCTCCAGCCAGCAGTACGAGCCCTCAGGTACACTGTCCACCCCTGTGTTAGCCAGCAGTGCTGGTTCTCGAAACAGCCTTTCGGAGCCAGAAGCATCAGAACACAGCTTCAGCAATGGTGCAGCCTTGGCAGCACAGATCCAGAAGGTAAGGCCTGAAGAGCAGTGCTGACCACCGCTTCTCCATTAAGTCATTCGTTCAAGTATTTACCAGATGGATAATGTTTTGTTGTTACTTTTTTGCCAAGCCTTTGGTGTTAATTGAGGGATTTGGACTTTATCCTGCAGGCAGTGGAAAGCTATTAGGTTTTGGAGCAGGTGCCTACTTGAGAAAAGCAGGGTTCTGCAGGTCAGCCTGGAGTAGTGTTTAGTGGGAGGTGAGGACCAAGAGAGTGGAGTGCCTCAGGTTGCAGGCCAAGTGCAATGGAGAGAGAAAGTTCTAGACTAGAGGTTAATGACTGAGTGTATACAAAGAAAGGGGCGAAATTGGCCAAAATGACTACTATATACATAAGATGACTACTATATACATAAGGAAAGGGAGGCATGAATAAATAGATCAGTGTGTTCAACCCTTGGGCAACTGGGAGAATAATGAGCTGATAGAAATTAGGCAATCAAGGCAGGAGTGAGCATTTCTGGGGGAGATGGTGATTTATATTTGAGATACTATAGTCCCTATGGTTTCAGTTTCCTACAGTCAACCACGGTCTGAAATTATTAAGTGGAAAATTCCAGAAATACACAATTCATAAGTTTAAAATTTTAAATTGCATGTCACTCTGAGGAGTGTGATGAAATCTTACCCCATCCCACCTGCAACATGAGTCATCCCTTTGTCTGGCATATCCACATTGTGTATGCTACCAGGTGCCTGTTAGTCACTCGGTAACTGTCTGAGGTATAGACTGAGAAAACATAGTGCATGTAGCGTTTAGTATTGTCAGGGTTTCAGGCATCCACTTGGGATCTTGGAACATATCCCCTGTGGGTAAGGAGACTACTTAGGCTATTAGCACACTGTTTATGCTATTATGTTAATAGCACACTGGTTCTCATTGTCAGCTGTACATTGGAATTAGCAGGGGACCTTGGAAAAGCTACTGATTCTGATTTAATGGGTTTCGTGTGATCTAGGAATTGAGGTTTTTGTTTTGTTGTTTTTTTTTTTTTCCTAACTTCCCAAGTGATTCTGACTTATAGCTGAGGTTGAGAATCCCTGAGTTACACTCTTGCAATTCCATGTGTAGTTCATGGACTGACAGCTGTAGCAGCATCTGGAAACCTGTTAAAAATGCACTCTAGGGCCTACTGAAGTGGAATCTGCGTTTTAACAAGCTATCCAGATGATTCAGCACGACGGTTGGAGAAGGCTTGAGTTAGAAGAACTTCTAAGAAGATGTCTAGAAATAGTACAGGCTTAGGGAAATCAGGCCTGGAGACAGAGCTGGTGCTCAAACCTCTTTTGCCATGTATGTTTACAGGAGAGCTTCTTGACTCCAATATTCACGAAGGATGAACAAAAGCACAGACGTCCCTATGAGTTTGAGGTGGAGAGGGACGCAAAGGCTCGGAGCCTGGAGCAATTCTCGGCCACCCATGGACACCCGCCCATCGTCCTCAATGGCTGGCATGGGGAATCAGCAATAGACCTCTCCTGCTCCTCAGAGGGGTCCCCGGGAGCCACACCCCCTTTCCCAGTGAGCACCAGCACCCCTAAGATTGGGGCTATCGGTTCCCTTCAAGGAGCCCTTGGCATGGACTTGTCTGGGATTCTGCAAGCTGGCTTGATCCATCCAGTGACCGGACAGATCGTCAACGGAAACCTCAGAAGAGATGATGCTGCCACGAGGAGGCGGAGAGGGAGGCGGAAACATGTTGAAGGAGGGATGGACCTTATCTTTCTAAAAGAGCAAACACTTCAGGCAGGAATCTTGGTGGGTATATAAGTCCATGAAGTAAAAACACTGACCTTTCTGCACTGATAAACAAGATATTTTGATTTATGGATCATTTATCCCTATTTCAGTTGTCCTGCTTATTTTCTCTCATACATGACACCTTCCATATTTTTTTTAGAAGTAGGTAAATATTAACCCATTGCTGGCCCTCAACCTGCATGCAGAAATGAGCCAGGAGACTTGCTATTTTCAAAAAGAAGTGACCCAAGTCTTCCAGTGATTCAGAAGAGCCACTGGTGACTGAGCAAGCAAAGCAAGATGGCAGGGTTGAGTTTGCGGCAGCCTTCCTCAGAGTGGTGAGGCTTTCAAGCTGGGCGTGGGAGAAGGGGCCTGAGCCAGGGCTACCTGAACGTTGGTCCCAACCCTACAGCTTGACATACAGGCTGACACTGGGCATACCACTGAGCCTCACTTTGCTCCTCTGTAATGTGAGACAGCAGCAGCTGGCACAGGGTTACTGCGAGGATTTACAGAGATTGGTACTACGACAGTGCATTCTAAACTGGAGACCACATAACAACATGGCCAGTCAGAAGCCAGTCAGAAGCTTAGAGAGTCCCCTCTAGACTTTGTTGCTTAATGTCATATTTTGTTTTTTCCCTGTTTATTGAATTTTGGGCTCTAAAACAAGAATCACATTTTATGTTTCCTTGTCTTAAAAGAAGTGATGATGGCTGGTGTTAATATATACTTACTGTGTGCTGGGCACTGTTCAGCGTTTTACATGATGCTACTGCTTGATCCTCGTCATAACCCTGTGAGACAGGTGTTGTTATTACTCCCATTTATAGATGAGGAAATTGGACCAGCTCTGTGTCCTAATGATTAAGGGAGCCAGATCCCACATAGCCAACTATGGTTCAAATCCTTGTCCTGGCAGCTTGAGAAACACACCACATGTGCTCATATGTGTCCAAAATCCCAACACGATGGAGAAACAGAGGCAGAGGGATTGCAGTGTGACCCCACCCCAATGAGGGGTGCTTTCTCCCTCTCCCTCACTCTCTGTCTCTGGCAAGCACAAATGCCCTCTGGCAATTAAAAAAAAAGTAAAGAAAGGAAGAGGAAAGGAAGGAAGGCAAAAAAGAAAAATAGTTAATATAGATGAGGAAACTACAGTTTAAAAGCATTAAATAACTGACCCACAATTATCTAGCTACTGTTTTCTAGATGGTGAGAGATTTGCTGAGCTATATTGAATAAGATAGAGCTTCCTCTTAGCTTTTCTATGTAACGTGGGAAGCTGAAGTAGCAAGTTCTTTCCTTGCTTAATTCTGCAAGCTTTTAAGAAAGTTGTTAGGGTTTTTTTTAGAAATGCAATGCCATGAATTTTCTGTAATGATCATAGAATTCCAATGGAACGAATGATAAGAATTTTTTTTCCTGTGGCCTGAGGATATTTTTGAAATGTATTAATGAAACTGCTTATTTAGCACTAATATCAGTAGACTCCAGTACAGGTGTTGATAATGCCAAGATGAGTAAGACTTCAGAGAGGGAGTAGGTGAGTCAGTCACAATGTGGCATTTTCTGTTGGTGAGAAAGCTGTCAGCAAAGTGTCGTGTTATAGAGACAGGAGCCAGAAAGGCCATGTTGACTGGGACTGTCATTCAGGGTGACAAAGGAACAACACTGAATCAGAACAGTCAGGACAGAATTCAAGCTTTCCAAGTAGACAAGAGAAGGAGTGGAGTGTTCTGGTGGAGGGACACTGGGCACATGGGCAGAAGCCTTTGTGAAGTCAGTAGTGTGTGCAGAATTCCAGTTCAAGCACCCCACTAGACAAGTCTGAGGGGAAAAAGGAGTCAAAGAACACCTTAGGTGTTTTCCTTTAGAAGCTAGTTTTCATTCTGTCCAGATTAACTACACTGATTTTCCTTCGTCCAGGAAGTCCACGAAGACCCAGGGCAGGCCACCCTGAGCACCACACACTCCGAAGGGCCAGGACCTGCTACCTCCACCCCTGAACCGGCCGGAGCCACCAGCAGCCAGGCCGAGAAGGCCGTTCCCAGCAAGAGTCTGCTTGACTGGCTGCGACAGCAGGCGGACTACTCCCTGGACGTTCCCAGCTTCGGGGCAGTAAGTGTTCGATGCTGCTGCCCAAGGCCACTGCTTACTTCCTGCTCACTTGGCGCCATTTTCCATGAGCACATGCTGAAGGGAACCAGGAAGTTGGGAGCTCTCTGAGAGCTAATCTGTCAATTGGAACGTTAATTTTAAGTTTTTTTCTTTTTAAGTTTAAATTTTGGTTAAATTCTTCAGTAACAGAAATTACAGCCATGTTAGATTTCTGTGCGGAGAAGTAGACCCACAAAATCTTTTTTTAAGAATTATTTTATTGGGGGAACCAGCAGTTAGCGTAATGGCTATGTCGCTGGACTCCCACGTAGTCGACCGCGGTTCGAGTCCCGGACCCGGTGGCTTAAAACTCACGCTGGGCACATGTGCGTATGTGCCCAAGATCCCGAGAGGAGAATGAAGGAAAAGGGATTGCGGTGTGACCATCCCCCCAGGGGGTGATTTCTCGCTTTCTGTCTCTATGTTTCTCTCTGTCTGTCTGGCGAGCGCACGTGCCCTATAGCAAAAACATCTCCAAAAAAAAAAAAGAATTATTTTATTGGGACCAGCAGTTATCGTAATGGCTATGTCACTGGATTCCCATGTAGGCGACTTCAGTTCATGTCCCAGACCCGGTGGCTTAAAACTCATGCCGGGTGCATGTGCATGTGTGCCCAGGATCTTGAGAGAATGGAGAAAGAGGGATTGCAGCATGGCCATCCCCCCTGGGGGGTGATTTCTTGCTTTCTGTCTCTCTGTCTCTGTCTATCTGGCGAGTGCACGTGCCCTCTGGCAAAAACCTCTCCAAAAAAAGTTAAAAAAAAAAAAAAAAGAATTATTTTATTTAACTTTATTTATTTACTTATTTATTTTTTAATTTGACCAGAGAAGGACAGTGAGAGAGAGAGAGAGCAAGAGAAAAAGTGAGAAAGCAAGCCACCAGGTCCAGGACTTGAACCGTGGTTGGTCCTATGGGAGTCCAGCACTCTTAACCACCACATCACCTGCTGGCCCCAGACCCACAAAATCTTAAGAGGACAGAACTTGCCTAAGCTCATCTCCCTATCCCACCCCCAAAATTAGCACATAAATATAAGCTCACAGAGGAATCTAAAGGTTGTATAAACTGCCACTTGGTGAGCAGAGCAGCGAGAGAATGGGGTGTGTCTGTTCTGAGTTTGACCCTTGCTGATGTGGGACTTCCACCCCCCCACCCCCAAGCCATCCTGATGCTTTTGCCCTGGCTCCTTCAGACTGGAAATCTTTGGAGTGAGCTCTTGGGCCCTGATGTCTGTTCTCGGTTTTCTCATCTCATTTACTCATCTACTTCACCACCACCTTTGTACCTCTAACTAGGAGATAGGTAGGTAGAGCATGTACAGGGGATGGAGGTGTATTCCCTCCCAGATGCACACCCTTCAGGGGCAGGCAGACCAGACCACCAGTGGAGGGAGAATCTGCAGGAATGATGAGAAGGAAGCTAGGGCTAAGCAGTACCCTGGGAATGGGAGAGTTGGCTTGGCTGTTCTCACCTACAGTACCTGGGGCTTGTGTAGCGTTTTTCTAACTTGTACAGGGATATTGTCACTTCAAGGAGAGGAAATCTGAGCGAGGGCCAGGTGGCTAGGTCCGGTACAGAGGACTGTTAATGAGAAAATATTGATAGCAAAACTAGCTGATAAGCACCACCCCAGTCAGAAGAATCTATAACAGAATTTTTTTGGGGGGGAGAGATTTTTGCTATCGGGTGTGTGCGCTCCCCAGAAAGAGAGAGACAAAAGAGACAGAGAGATAGAAAGCGAGAAATCACCCCCCAGGGGAGATGGCCATGCCACAATCCCTTCTCCTCCATTCTCTTCTAGGGATCTTGGGCAAGCATGCACACGCGCTCAGTGTGAGTTTAAGCCATTCGGTCCAGAACTCAAACCACAGCGGACTACATGGGAGCCCAGCGACATAGCCATTATGCCAACTGCTAGTCCCCAGAATGTTTTTAATATTGGTCTCCATTTGCCTCCTAGAATTTTTCAGACAAACCAAAGCAGAGGAGGCCACGCTGTAAAGAACCTGGAAAATTAGATGTCAGCTCTCTGAGTGGGGAAGAGAGAGTTCCTGCCGTCCCCAAGGAGCCAGGACTGAGGGTAAGGAAGAGGGATATGAGTGTGGGGCCAAGGGCGATATCCCTGTTGAGCCATACCCTGCACACCTGAACGCAAGCGCTTCTGGGAAATGGGAATTAGGTGATGTTTCAGGAGAACAGGAGGCCAGCGCAGGAAGTTGGTAAGCAGCCATAAGTGTATTGTGGCATTCTGAGCAGCACTGTGACTTCCACAGTCATTTGTTTTCAACATTTACCCTAGACCATTCCCAAAACTTGCTCCTTTTTCCTATATGTAGAGTTACAAGGGTAAAAGACCTTAACTCCTGTCAGAAATCTGTCTGCAATGTTTAATAAACTTTATTACTGAAAGTTTTCATTGTTTAATTATATTTATCTGGCTGCCATTTAGGACTTCTTTGTCCTTCCTCACTGGCAATGAGAAACAGCTCACGCCAAGCACCACCCTTTTCCTATTTTAGAATCATGAGACTGGAAGGAACTTCAAAAAGACATCTGTAGAAGACTTCTAGTATAAAGAGTCTGAGTTAATTATGGTTTACAGATGGGTACAGATTTAGAATATAAAAGTTATAACCTCTAGGGGGCGGTAATAACATTTCGACTAGAAAATTTGAGTTTGGGGAAATTACATGCAAATGAACTTTTAACTTCCTAAAATGTGTTCAGCCCAGATAGGGGGCTTCCGAAGATCCTGTGGGGACGTTTGTTCTTCCCAAGTCATTCCATAGACTCGAGCTTCTACTAAGTGCTCTGCCAGCCACAGCCTTGAGTACAGATTCCATTCTTGGTGAGATTGCCAGAATGTGATTTCTTTTTTTAGCTTCAAAAGACCACCCACCAGCCGTTTCCTCCTCCTTGTGCAGAAAGAAGTTATTTAATGTTTTCAAGGAACTTGTTACTGGTTTTATCACCTGCATCATTATTTTTCCAGCAGCTCTGCAAACAGCTGCTCTTATTCATGTCCCTCTGCTACCACGGCCACTCAGAGGGGTGTCTGGGCCCAAATGCTCACCCTTCCCCCTCCCTTGCTTTATTCTCAGTGTCCCTACCACCCTGACCTTAGATCCCCTTGTACTGTCGACGCTGGTTCAGCTCAGCTTCTGCTTTCATCCTGTTTGTCTTCAGCCCCGTCATGCCACCTTCCACCTTCTCAGTTCGTCTTAGCACTCATTGAGTATTTCAGTTAAGTTGTCAAGGAAAGACCTCCCGTTCTACTCTCTGAGAGTTCTTGGTTTAGAGACCTGTCAGAAAAACCATATGGTTCCCTCTTGGCTTCCTCATTTTGTTCCACATGTCTAACAATTTCCCTCATGTTCCCTGGAAATTAGCATCCATCCCACCCCTGGAGATGCTGACCAGTTGCCAGAAAGCCCATTTCTAAGCTGTTCTCACAAGGCAGCCTCTTCCCAGAGGTGCATTTTCCTCGTTTGTTAAATAAACATACTCTGTGCTTTGGAGGCCCTTTTCCAGCAGTAGGCAAGGACAGGAAGCACTTGTCCCCCTGGCCCTCAGTGTTGCTCAGCTATCCGGCAGGGCAGAGCCATTCACTCTGCCTGGCTCTAGGTGGCCCAAATGTCTCCCACAGCTCCTCCCTTAGTTACAGCCCCCTTGTGATAGGCTCTACTCTTCCTTTCCTGTAGAAACTTTTATTTATTCTGGCTGCTATAACAAAGATCCCATAGAGTAGGTGACTTATAAACAGCAGAAGTTTATTTCTCAGGGGCAGCATGGTGGTTAAGGTGCTGAACTCCCACAGGGTAGGCCACAGTTTGAGTCCTGGCCCTGACGGCTTAAAAATCACCCTGGGGGAACCAGCAGTTAGCATAATGGCTATGTTGCTGAACTCCCATGTAGTCAACCACGGTTCAAGTCCCAGACCTGGTGACTTAAACTCACACCGGGCACATGTGCTTGCATGCCCAAGATCCCAAGAGGAGAATGGAGGAGAAGGGGTTGTGGCGTGGCCATCCCCCTGGGGGGGTGATTTCTCGCTTTCTCTCTCTCTGTCTCTCTCTGTCTGTCTGGCGAGCACACGCGCCCTATAGCAAAAACCTCTCCAAAAAAAAAAAATCACACTGGGAGAGCCAGCAAGTGTCATAGTGGTTAAGATAGTGAATTCCCACATGGCCAGCTGCGGTTTGAGTCCCAGACCCCTGGCATCTTGAAAATCATGCCCAATGTGTGTGTGTGTGTGTGTGTGTGTGTGTGTGTGTGTGTGTGTGTGTGCATACCCAAAATCTGGAGAGACAAATGGAAAAAAATGGATTGTAGCATGGCCATTCCCCTTGGGGGGTTATTTCTTACTTTCCCTCTTTCTAACTCTCTCTGCTAAGGGTGTGCAATAGTAAACACCTAATAAAAAAAGAAAGAAAGAGGAGAAAAAAAAATAATATATATATATATCACAGTTCTGGAGCCTGGAAAGTACAAGATCAAGGCATCTGCAGATTTAGTGTTTGGTGAGAGCCTGTTCCCACTGTGTCCTCACATGCAGGAGAAAACAGACACGCTCTCTGGTCAGTAGCCTCTTAAAAGGGCACTAACCCCAGGCATGAAGACCCTATGACCTAAGGTTCCCACCTTCTAATACCATCACATTGGGGGTGGAGTTCAACATGTTAATTTGAGGAGACACAAACAGTCTACAACTGAAGCCCTACCCCTTCTTCTAAAATACTAACAGTTTAAGATCTCACAGGGAACTGCTTCCTTATGCTTGCCCAGTCCTTATGCTGTATGTGCTGTGATTTGACTGGGTGAGGTCCACAAAGGCTGTGGAATTAACCCTTAGGATGCCTGTTATATAGTGATTGCTCATTAAACGTGTATGTGCACACATATACTTAACATGGCTAGTATAATTTACATATATGAGCATAATTTGGTGTTTGTTTTTTGTTGAGCCACTTCAGATCATAAATTGCAGACATGACACATACCCCTAAATACTTCAGCATGCATCTCATAAGCATATTCTCCTACATAGTTATTGTCAATATGACACATGCGCATGTTAATACCTAATATCTAATCCATATTCACCAGTTGTCCCAAAAATGTCTTTTAGGGCTGATTTTTGTTGTTTTATTTTCAAGTTTTGTTTTGTTTTGTTTTGTTTTAACATTTTTGCTCTAGGGCACGTGTGCTTGCCAGGGAGAGAAAGTGAGAAGACACTGGCAACACCACAACCCCTTCTCCTCCATTCTTTTAGGATTTTGAGGATGCACTCACATACACCTGGCATATTTTTCAAGCTGCCAGGCCCAGGACTCAAGCCATGCAGTCAGCCATATGGGATCCAGCTATCTTAACCACCATGCCACTGGCTAGCACAATGTTTTAGGATTTTTGTATGAGGAGTCACATGTTTCATTTGGTTGTGAGGTCTCTTTTCACTCAAGGAATGTTTTTTGGATGGATTTACTAACCTTTCCTGGGAGGAGTAAGGAAGCTCTGGCTACTACCCTCTAACCTGCACCCAAGAGTTAAACTTTCAAGTTGAGATAAGTGCCAGCCTGTATGACAAGAATGTTTTGGGGTTGGCATGCCCACGAAACCATCTAGAAATGCAGCTTGGCCTTCAGTGTGGCTTGAGCACAGGAGCCTCCTTTTCCTTGTTCTCTTTGTGCCCTCTCCTAGGCGTTCCCTGGAAGAGCAAGCAGGTCTGTTCCTAGAGTATAATTACAGGAGGGCAAGCTGCCAAAGCCCAATCTGGCCACTGTGTGTGGTCGCCAAACTGCTGGGAGGGGCACCTGACTTGGGGGCACAACAGCTGGATGGCTAGAGTGACTCCCTCTCCACAGGAAGTGGTTAAAGCCCACTTCCTCTGCCAGCCTGCTTCTTGCTTTACCATAGATAGAGAAGCGTTTTCCTCCCCCGGAGCCTTTCCGCTATTGCAATTTTGAGATCTGAAAGGGAAAAGAAGACTAGCTTGTGCCTCTGAGCAGGCTCTCCTTGCTCAAAGGGCCCAGCATTCTCTCCAGATCCATGGTTCTCAGCAAGAGACAGGAAAGAATGTATTGAGATGTCCAGATGCCTGAGGAGTGCTGCTTGTGCTTAGTGGGCAGGGCCAGGGAGACCAGAGGTCCTGCAGGGAGTGAGCTGGTCTTAATGAGCTGCCTGTGCCTAACTGCCCTGACAAGGAAGTTAAACTAGTGAGTGTGTTAAAGAAGATCTGATTTGTAGCAAATTGTTTGAAAATACCAAGCCCCGGGATTATTTACTTCCCAACAGGAAGACTTCTGAGATTGATCATGCTTCTCCCACTTAGTAGTAAAGGGGGGAACACTTGTGGTGATAAAGGAAAAAGACACTCTCAGACCCTCTCTCTGGTTCTGGCTTGTGGGCATGCTATGGAGAAGAGGTTTGGAAAAGCCTCAGGGTTGAGTTGTGCCAGCCAGGGCCAAGACTCCTCCGTGCAGACAGAGCAGCTGGCCCAGAGTGAAGTGATTTGCATTGCTGAGTTCAGGACAGACTGTCGAGAAGTCTGGTCTTGAGCCATGAAATCCTACTGTCTCTCTTTAGAAACAGGAACCAGCCAAGAATTGCTCCCTCAGTGGTCGTCCCCATAGCCCAAATAGGCATTTGCCCAACACACTTAAGCACAAGCCAGCCTAGCGGGCTGTGGTGGGAGAAAGAGGGTCACAGTGTGGTGGAAGAACCTTGGGCTGGGAGCTGCAGGGCCTGAGTTCTCACCTGCTCTGGCCCTGACCAATCAGCCCAGGGGCAAATTGCTACCCCTCTCTGCTGATGAAAAGGGGACCAAACGATGGTTTCAGTGGTTCCTTCCAGTTCTATTTCGCTAGGCCAAGGCTTTTTGAGAACCCTTTTCTCTTCATACAGCATTGTCATCTTAAAACTTATTGTCCATAATGAACTGGTTTTTCTTAAATAGTCCTCGTTGAAATCAAACAGGTATAAGATTTCAGAGACAACTGTTTCAGAAGACATGTGTTCTCACATACCTATGAATCTGTAAGTTCTCTGTGAAGCAAGTGTGATTGTAGTACAAACTCCATCGGGTTGGTAGGACATCTAGTTGTCACAGCATAGACAGAGCTTCTAGTATGGTGCCTGACAGTGGTAACTGCTTTTCTTTTTTTTTTTTAAGAGAGATTTCTGCTATAGTGTCCATGCACTTGCCAGAGAGACCGAGAGAAAGTGAGAAATTAGCCTCCTCCCAGGGGGGATGGCCATGCTGCATTTCCTTCTCCTCCGTTCTCAGGATTTGGGGCATGCATGCACACACACCTAGTGTGAGTTTCAAACCTCCGGGTCTGGGATCTGAACTACAGTCAGCCATGTGGGAGGCCAGGGCCTTAACTACTATGCCGCCTGCTGGCTCTGGTAACTTCGTGATGGTGGTTGGGGTTTCTCTTATGCTCCTTCCTGTCACCACCTCTAATAACAAGTCCCCCTGGCTGTTGCCCACCCCCACCACCAAGCTCACTGAGAACCAAAACCAGAGTCACCAGCTAAGGGTTTTCTAAGGGCTTTACTTCTTTAATAGATTTGAGAGAAGTGAGGCAGTGAAATAGACTGGAAGTTCAAAAGAAAGGATTGGGCTGGCCCCATGGCCTGGTGGTAAAGGGATCTAGATGCCCAGCCCGGCAGCTTGGGAAAAAAAAAACAAACACTAGATTGCCTGTATGTGTGTGCCCAAAATCCCAACAGGATGGAGAAATGGAGATGGGATTGCAGTATGACTGTGCTTCATCAAGAGATATTTTCTCCCTGCCCCCACTCTGACAGGTGCATGTGCCCTCTACCAATTTTTTTTTTAATTGTCCTTTCATGGCTTATAAATGGATTTATGAGCTGCTCTTGGGCCTGGGCTCCAGTCTCAGCCCATAGATACCCTTAGCTTCCCTGATTTCCCTGTCCACATTCTCTCAGGCTCCAGACCCTAATCATAGGGTTTTCGTGTCCCTTCTGGTATCTCTTGGTAAGACCTGTACCTCCTGTCTTTCCCTGGGAGGAGTCCACCAAGAAGCGCAGTAAGTCCCTGCCTCTGATCCTCTGTGAGCTGGTGGAGCCTTGGCAGCTTCTTGCCTGATTCTTCCTCTGACCTCGTTCCAGACTCTTACAGGAATGGACAGCAATTACCCAAGGAGAATCTGAGAAGGTAGCAGATGCAGGTCCTAGAGCCACGCAGGCTCCTCAGTGTTGGCGGCCACATAGCGTCACTGTCGAGCTCCCCACCTGGTACCACTCAGCAGGCCCCACATCCCAGCCTTGATGGTAACCTGTGTCCTCAGTGGAGTCCAGTGTGACCAGACCCATCAAGGGCACTCTGAGCATCTCAGCTTAATCATCATTGTAATCACAAGGAAGGTGACGCCACTATCTCTGTAACAGAAGCTATAAGGAGACACCTGGGCTGTTAGGAACACTTCACTCAGAGTGGCCGCTGACTTCCCAGGCACCAACTGGGAACGCCTTTTTTTTTTTTTTTTTTTTTTTGAGAGGTTTTCGCTATAGGACGCGGGCACTCCCCCGACAAAGAGACATAGAGACAGAAAGCAAGAAATCACCCCCCAGGGGGGGTGGTCACGCCGCAATCCCTTCTCCTCCATTCTCCTCTCGGGATCTTGGGCACGCACGCACACGCGCCCAGCGTGAGTTTTAAGCCACCAGGTCCGGGACGCAAACCGTGGTCGACTACGTGGGAGTCCAGCGACATAGCCATTACGCTAACTGCTGGTTCCCACGCCTTTTTCTTAATACTCTGTGTGAGAAAAGCCTGAGACTACTCAACAGCACAAGTGTAATTCACTTTTTAAAGTACTGTGCCATGTGTATTATTCAATAAGTCACTGATTGCAGGGAGAGTGAATGGCAATAGAGAGAAAGATGTACATAGTCACCCAGGGTTCCGGGCTCCAAGTCCTGAAAAAACTGCTCCCCTCCTGTGGGGAAAATATTTCTCTTTCTATGGGAATTATTCACATCATCTTTGAAACAAATTCAGAGGTAGACACTAGGTTCTCGGGAAAGTAATGATGTATTTTTCTATGTTTTTCTATGCAAAAATGCATCGTGACTTCCCCAACAATCCAATACATTCTAAATGAAATGGTTTGTTCAGTTACCTCTACACAACCAGGCCATAAGCCCTGTCCTCACTGGCCTGCAGAGTCCCAAGCCCTGTTCTCTTTAGAAGACGGAAGGTGCATGGCTGGAGCCTGTGCCTCCCTGTCCATTGTGCTGTGTCCTGCTCTTTGCTGATATGAGGACAGTGTATTCTCTGTGTGTCTGTGTAGCTTGACAGTCCTGGTGCATGACGGGAAAGTAGCCAAGCACATAATGCCAGATGACTGGGTACGACCATAGCTGTGAGTCCCAGGCACATCTCACTGTAATCCCGTGTGGAGCGGAAGTGCTTAGCTGTGGAGTTCTGCTGATTAAGGAAATTGGAGAGTAAACCTTTAAATAGAGGAAAAGTGGATTGTCTGCCTGTGGACAGCCAGAACATCACTTGTTCTGGAGATATCTCCCCAAAAGTGTTCAAGAAATTTCTTCAATGGAGCCTCCCATAGGGCTTAGAATAGTGGCAGAAGGAATGGAGTGTGCACACCTTTAATAAATAGCATTCCCTTAGTGGGTGCTGCTTCCTGTGGTTCAGGTAGCGTCCTAAAGTCCTCACTTTCAGTGATGCTAAAAGATACTGTCCCTTCCTTTCTTTCTTTCTTTCTTTCTTTCTTTTAATTTGCTAGAAGGCACATATGCCTGCTGGAGAGAGAGGGATGGTCACACCGCAGACCCTTTGTCTCCATTTTGCATTCCTTTTGGGATTTAGGCAAGTACGCACATGTACCTGGTGTACTTTTCAAGCTGCCAGATCCGAACCTGGCATCAGCCATGTCCCATCCAGCCACCTTAACCATTATGTCACTGGCTGGCCGGATATTGTTCTTTTCTACCAAAACTGAGAGTTTAACAGACTTATCCTGAGTCCCATAGGTGGAGGGTTGCAGAGTCAGAATTTAAACTCAGGTCTTGGGACCAGCAGTTAGTGTAATGGCTGTGTCACTGGACTCCCACGTAGTCAACCGTGGTTCGAGACCCGGACCCAGTGGCTTAAAACTCACGCCGGGCGCATGTGCATGCGTGCCCAAGATCCCAAGAGGAGAACGGAGGAGAAGGGATTGCAACGTGACCATCTCCCCTGGGGGGTGATTCCTCACTTTCTGTCTCTCTGTCTCTCTCTGTCTGTCTGGCGAGCACATGTGCCCTATAGCAAAAACCTCTCCAAAAAAAAAAAAAAAAAGAAAACTCAGGTCTTTCTGGCTCCAGATTTCTGTCTGACATATTCAACTTTGTTGCTTCAGTGAAAATTTGTCTGGGCCAGACCTATAGTGCAGGAAGTAAGCCCTGTGCATGAGGAGGAGCTGCATCCCACCACAGTTTGGATCCTGGCTTGGGGAAAAAAAAAAAAAAAACAGGTACATGTGTGTGCATGCCCAGAATCCTGACAGGGTAAAGGGAAAAAGGATGGCGGCATGACCACACTCTGTTGGGGGATACTTTCTCTGTGTGTGTGTCTGTGTGTCCCCCTCTATGGGAGTGCACCTGCCCTCTATCAATTATAAACAAACAAGCCTTCGTTTCATGAGGAAAACAAATGCTGGGACCTGAAGGGGCCACAGCCATAAGAGTGAGACATCTTCAGTACTGGTTTCCAGTGAGCATTTTGGAAGGATTATTGGGTGGTGACAAGGCCTTTGCTGTGCCTTTGCCACCAAATGTTCTCAGCCTCTGAGGGAGAAACCCTCCAAGAATAGTAAGGCCAGAGACGTACACCTTGCTTGACCAGCAGGCAAGAGGCACTTTCCCACCAGGGCCCTTGGTGGAACCATGGACAAGCTAGGCCAGCCCAGAGCCCAGTCATCACCACCAGTTGACTATCCACCCTCCAGTAACCTTCAGCCTCTTATGTTTCTTTGTCTTCCTCAGGGATTTCTCCCAGAAAACAAGTTCAATCACAGCCTGGTGGAGCCTGTTCTTCGAGACGCTGGCCCCCGTAGGAGGGGGAGGCGGCCTCGAAACGAGCTCCTGAAAGCCCCCACCATCGTGGCAGACTCCGGCTCCGGAATGGGGCCACTGTTCATGAATGGCCTAATCGCTGGGATGGACCTGGTAGGGCTGCAGAACATGAGGAACATGCCAGGCATCCCCCTCACTGGGCTGGTGGGGTTCCCGGCCGGCTTCGCCGCAATGCCTGCGGGCGAGGAAGTAAAGAGCACCCTGAGCATGCTGCCCATGATGCTGCCAGGCGTGGCCGCGGTGCCCCAGATGTTCGGTGTCGGGGGGCTCCTCAACACACCCATGGCGACCACCTGCACTCCCACTGCCCCAACGTCTCTACCAAGCACAACAAAAAGTGGCACGGCAGTGACCGAAAAGACTGAGGAAGATAAGCCGAGCAGCCACGATGTAAAAACAGACCCTTTGGCTGAAGACAAGCCTGGTCCTAGTCCATTTTCTGATCAGTCCGAACCTGCAATAACTACTAGTAGTCCCGTGGCTTTCAACCCGTTTCTCATCCCGGGAGTATCTCCTGGACTCATTTACCCATCCATGTTTCTCTCCCCTGGCATGGGCATGGCTCTGCCAGCCATGCAGCAGGCCAGACACTCGGAAATGGTAGGCCTGGAGAGCCAGAAGCGTAAGAAGAAGAAAACAAAAGGGGACAACCCCAACCCCAACCCCAACCCAGAGCCTGTTCCTGGGTGTGAAAGGGAGCCAGGCAGCGATCAGAACTGCACCGAATCCAGCGCCCCTTTGCCCCCAGAGAGAGAACATGTGGCACAGGCTGGGGAAGGGACCCTCAAAGACTGCAGCAGTGACACCAATTAGAACTCGTTTCGTTCAAGAAATTATTGTGACTTGTAAGTTTCTTATCCCATAAAGGTTTGTTACTTCCCTCACTTCACCTTCATAAGAACCTGTGTTTCCATAAGTAATATTACCTACCTGATTTCCTGTCTGAGAATTACGGTAACGGATGTTAATAGTTGCAGGGTCTTGCCACTTCATTAGATTAAGTGTCGTCTACCTAGTTGAGGAGGCACAGAATTCTCATTCTGTTACCCAGTTGTTCATTCCAGCAGTTATAGTTAATACAGTACTTGGTGACACTCCCTACCCCCAGCTCTTCCAAGTCTCCCACTTATTTGAGGAGGAAGAGGCAAAGAAAGCTGTCCAGGGATTTAGCGATGAAGGGTCGAAGAACAGACAATGGGCTCTCTTTCCCGAGAGCTAGGTCCAGTATGAAGAATGTAAGGAGGGAAGCAAAAAGCACAGACAGAGGAAGTGCTCGTACATATTTTTGAGTTCAAATATTTCCCTATTTTATCATGATTACTAAGTAGTATAGGCAGAAGTATATAACTAATGGTTAAAAATGCGTATATTCATTTCTTTATTAAAAAGAAAAACCTTACCAGTAGGAAAATAATTCCCCCCCTCATGGTTTTTTGGACACCTACAGCAAGAATACTGGCCAGGCATTGTTTTACAGGGACGTATTATCCCTTCCCCAGTTAAAAGACAACTCTCTGTTGAGAGCACTTTATACACGTGAGCTGTGCGGGTCCCAGGGTGGGGCAGGGGCTCCCCCACACACACACTGAGCTGCACACTTCACAAGCACACACGTTCACAATGCTCCCCTCATTCTCTGGAGAATTCCTCTAGCCACTAATTTGCTTCTCCGTTTAAAGAACACCAAGATCTAATGGATTTTCATTTTGTACTCTCCTTCACCAAGAATAAGGCTCCTTCTGGAGCCTGCAAGAATAGTCCCTCACACTTGCACGTTTGCGAGGTCCTTTCATCTAGGTTATTTGAGGTTATCAACACGTGTGTACCACCTTTTAGAATACAACTGTGAAAAGTTTTTCCTTCTCTATTATTCCTCTATTCCGTTTATATCTTACTGTTGGACCCAAATTCCAAATTACCAGTGGAGACTGTGTTGCAGGTGAACATGGTTTGCTCTTCTTCTTCTCCGTATCCAGGAATTGAGCTAGGAGGGCCTCACCTTAGCAGCACTTCCCCCACTTCCTTTTGCCTTCCCGCTCCCGTTTCCTCCCTCCTGACGGTCTTATTCTTTGTGGGCAGTTCACAGTCTGAGACTTGAAATAAGCTCATGGTTCAGTACTCTGGGGGCACAGGGCCGCGCAGGACCATTGGGAATGCCGCAAGTGTTACTAGTGCCAGTTTCACCTTTCGTTGTCACAATTTACTGTGTTTTTTACTTTTTCTGTTACAGTTTTGCTAATTTATCAGAAGGTCCAAAAGTTTGACATAACTATTTCAGTTTGCATTATTTATTTATGATGCTTTTGTCATTGTCTTTTATACATTCGGGATTATAAATTATGTAAATGTTAAAATGAGCATCTCAAAAGAAGTCTGTTGAAGCGTGATTTAAAAAAAAAAAAAGTCAATCAGATGTATTTTCAAAGAGTGGAGTCCCGTTTTATGAATCAGAGGTGTAAACCAGAAATTCAGTAACTGATCATATAAGAAGGTCAATAATTGAACAAATCCTATTTAATGACATTCTTGTAGCATAGGTGGCCTGTGGTGCCGACAACAGATTTCTTAGAAATGCTGCTCTCTCTATTTAACTAACATTTTGTTCAGTTTTGCCTCCAGTGGAAGCAGAAAGGGTTTTTTCAGCTGTTAAATCCTAAAAATCAATATAATTTATTTATGTAAAAAAAAAATCACTCAATTGATATATTTTTGAACCTTTTAAGTACTAATTTTCTTTTTATCAAGTAGAAAAAAAATGTATTTGCCCTAAATCCTTAAAAATACAAATGCTATAAAAATTCCTGTATCTTGAAAGCCTTACTGCAAATGAGTATTATAGACATCCAGCGGAGTCTGGTTTTCTTTGTTGTCCTGTGTTGTTGTTGTTTTGTATGGAAAAGCTGCTTTCCCCGGTTCCACCTATAACCTCCGGTAGGTCACAGGGTTCAATATGGATCTGATTTTAAAACCCACCAGCATGCTCAATCCCTTGTTATATCTTATCAAACCTGTATGTTAACTCTCTGGGTGTTCAGGCTTCTATTTGACTGCTGTTGTGACCCTGTTTGCAAAATGAAAATGACACTCTGTGGATTATTTGCTCTGTAAGGCATACGTACTGCTTATGATTATTTTGGCGTTTCCAAGAGCAAAAGCCAAATTTAAACTCTCTTCAGCAAACTTGAGCCTTTTCATCTAATTCCATGTCACTCGCAGTCATAACTTTCCTTGATCATTCTTCACCCCATGTCTTACATAATAAATTGTCTGTGGTCTTGATCCTGGATTTAAAAAAAAAAAAAAAAAGTTTAAAAGTCAAATTTGTATTTGAGGACTTCAGTGACACTTGGATGTCTCTTGCCTGAGCACTTACTTTACGGACGCAGTGTATACACACCAGGAATCCACTGTCTTTTCTAGGTGTCTGATTCATGCTGGACGCCTACTGAAGACTTGTCCAGTATTCATTCTGAGTGTTGGCTTGACCTGACCCCGACGCACCAGACCACTTGGCTAAAATGCACCATGCCATAGCAGGGGGGTGGCAGCAGCCATCCTCCTCTCCTGACGTGGGGCTTGAGCACCCTCAGCTGATGCCAGCGGCCATGTCACTTTCTTAGGCCACATACCAGAAGTCCCACCTCAGATCACACTCTGGGACTTTGGAGGGAACTAAATTTCTGTGGGTTAGAGCAGATCCACAACACACAGGACCACCCTAGTAGCCCAAGTTCTCAAGGCTTTGTAAGAACTGCACAGTCTCAGTATTGGGAAGCATGGCTTCTCAGCCCTGGATGGGCTTCACCAGAAGTTACCAATGAGGCTGGCAGGAAATCACTAAAACCTCATTTAAGACTGAGTAGGGGGACCAGCAGTGGGTGTAATGGCTGTATCGCTGGACTCCCATGTAGTAGACCACGGTTCAAGTTCCAGACCCTGTGACTTAAACTCCCGCCAGGTGCACGTTCATGCATGCCCAAGATCCCGAGAGGAGAATGGAGGAGAAGGGCTTGCTGTGTGGCCATTCCCCCGGGGGGGGGGGGGGTGTGATTTCTCGCTTTCTGTCTGTCTCTCCCTGTCTTTCTGGCGAGCACACACGCCCTATAGGAAAAAAAAAAAAAGAAGAAGAAGAATGAGTAGGGCCCAGCCACAGTGGCCCAGCACTCTACAATGCTGGAAACCACATAGAAGATGCAAGTTTAGTTTCCAGGTCAGCTTGTATACCCTGGGCATGCATGTGCCCAAGATCCTGATTGGATGAAGGAGGCAGGCAAGAATCACAATGTGAAACCCTGTTGATGGTGCTTCTCTCCCTTTCTCCCTTTCTGTCCACATTCCCTCTTCCCTCCAAGAAATAAAGAAACAACACTGAGCAGGAGAATGACCCAGCCTTCCTGGTTGGATCCTATGAGGAAGCAAGAGATGGTTACATGAATAGCCTTAAGGATGGATGGGGCATTGGAGGAAGGCCCCAGAGTCCTCTCCTACCGTTTATCAAGTAAGGATGTATTATTACAGGCTTTGTAGAGCTCTGGTGGAGACTCAGGGTGCCCTTCAGGATAGACCAATAATTTACGCAGAATAAATAGGTGAGTCTTGGTTTCATTAGTTACCTCAAATCCAGGCCAAGTATCTACTGCTTCCTTGTACAAGGACAAAATAGCACTGACTGTCAGTCTAGTACACCAGGCTAGAGGTTGTGTGTTTGCCATATGTGACCTCATTTATCCTTGCAGCTTCTTGGGAGCTGGGTGGAGAGATACTGGCATCTGATCTGCCTAATGAAAGACATCAGAGAGCCGGCCAAGGCTCACGAAGACCAGAGCTGGGGCTAGACCCCATGGTAACACCAGTCAGAGGAGGCAGCACCCGAATCCTGGCTTTTGTGATACCAGTCTTAGACCTCTCTACCTCAGAGACAGAAATGAGTGAAAATTACATGGAAAAAACATAACCCTGGGGAAAACAGAGCACTCAAAGCATCACATCCTTTGGAAAACTTTATGCTTGATTGTAAACCACGTTACTTAAAATGGCTTCTTGCAGGAATTATTGTTCATTTGCCTGGCAACCACAGAAGGTTTTCTCTCTCAGGTCAGATATGGGGTTTACCCAGCTTAGTAACTAGGACGTGGGCCCAAGACTGGCTTTCCTCAGCTTCTCCAAACCCAGCTCTGAGGTTCAGCGAGGGCAGGGCCTCTGCACACACAGCTGATGCTGCCTAATGGCTAGCTAACATCGTGGCCAAACTGGGCGAGGTGTCTGGAGTAGGATGGGCAAAATGGAGAGGGGTGAGTAGGGCCAGAAAGGGAGGAAGGGAGAGGTGAACTAGATACTAGGCATGGACTAACACATGAGATCAGTTTGTCTGTGGCATGTTGATGCTGCCTAGATGCCCCTGAGAGCTTCTGAAATCAGACGCCACTGTAGCCCACCCCCGGAAGACAGGGAGAGGCATGAGAATGGGGAGAAGGGAAGGGAAGTGGAAGCCCCCAGGGATAAGGCTTCCCTGGGAAGGGTGAAACAACATCTCTACCTCCTCTAACCCTGTTTCTCCACCTCTAAAATGAAAATTCTAATTCGCACCTACTGAGTTATTGATGGGTCGATTGACATGGCCAACGTCAAGTGCTTATCTCTGCTTGTTCTTTTGGGTGTCCTTTATCTGCTCCTTTCCTTTCAAACCCAGTGAGCAAGGGTTACCAGTCCCGTTGGAGAGATGGAGAAATCAAGGATAAGAAAGGGCAAGGAAGAGCTTGTATAGAGTGGGTCCGGGATTGAACTTAAAGCAGGAAACTGTAAGAAAAAACAGGCTTTGGGATCTGACTCCATTCCCAAGGCCCTGCTCCCAGGAAAGAAGGTTGCTTTCCTTATGAGCTTAGTCTTGAGTAATTGAGGGGAGGAGGGATTTGTGAAGCCTCCCCCTTAATGTAGAGTTGTCAGATTTAGAGTAAGAACGGCAGAAAGACACCCAGTTAAATATGAATTTTAAATATGTAGGAAGGAGATCCCATTTATTGCAATATTTGATACATGGTTATACTAAAACACTTATACTATACTTTTTCTTGTTTATCTAGAATTTAACTAGGCATCTGTATTTTATCTGGAGACCTTACCCAGTGGTGACAACACACATTATTAGGGCACTTCCTGTAAGTGGGGTTTGTTTTGAGTGCTTCATGTCCATATTCTCAATCCCCCCCAATAACTCTGAGGTTACCCCACCCAAAAAGGCTACCCAAAAAGGCTACTTGCCCAAACAGCCAGATGAGAGATGACAGTCCTGGA